CACACACACACACACACACACACACACACATGCACAGTGCATCAGCCATAAAATCAATTTGCTGGTATATTGACCTTACCCCTCCTCCCTCCCTCTCCCTCTCTCTCTCTCTCTGTTATCCCCTCAGGTCTCTCACTCCTGTTAATTCAGGCAGACCAGTGCTCCAAATATAGAAAACCTAAGCCGTCTCCGAGCATGTAAATGATGACACCTTTTCAGACGTCTATGATCACTGAAGCGTGCGTCATCCATATTCAAACCGTGTGCACAAGCATTTACTTGTGTATCTTCATGAGGAGCATTTTGATTAAATACCTTGCCAAGACAATTTTCTAGGGTTCGGGTTAGAAACAACTTTAGGTTATAATAGGGGACTATAAAGAAAGCATCATGAAATAATGGTGTATCTGCACTGTTGACTATTTTTTATTTTCATATTGCTGCTCATTCTTTCTGATATAGAGCCTGTTGAAGCTAGTTTTAACTGAATTTAAGAAAAGATGAGTGAATGGGGGAAGTCAGGGTTATGTTGATGTCCTGGTTAGGGTTAAGCATTTAGTCGTGATGGTTAAAGTTAGGTGAAAGTGGGGCTAAAGAATGCATAATGCCAATGTGTGTCCTCATTAAAGTCGGTTTCAGACATGAACTCCTGAGATTGTCCGCAGAATTGGGTTCGGACTTTCTCCAGAGTTTTCCTTTTACACATGAATGATGCAGCAGGACGGGTTTAATGTAGTAATTCTGCTGTGGAGAGCACGTGTGTTAATGTGTGAGATCCTGGTCATGGAGAGGAGGTCACATGTGAATTGTGGTTAGGTTAATGTTTGGCATGAATTGGTCATGATTAATGTGAAGGAAAAGCTTTTGGTTTGGTATTCAACTATGAATGGATGTCTATGCAAAGTCCTAATAAGGATAGCTGCACAAACCTGTGTGTGTTTATGTAAATATACCTGCATGTATGTGTTCTGTGGATTGATGACTCACATATGAATGTGTGGGTGTGTGTTTTTGAGTCTAATGCTGAGCCCTTTCCATTCTGATTGTACTTGTATTACGGTATTTCTCTCCTTATGTGTGATAAATAATTCAGGCTTCCAGAGGCAAAAAAGAACATTCATGAGGAAAAAACTGAAAGAGTCAAGAGCCCAGACTTTCTCCATGAATTGTCTTTCAGGGAGGGACAGAGAAACTCTGAATCGCAGCGCATGCATGCACGCACAAATCAGCCCTCATCAGCTACATGCAGCTCAGACTGGAGATTGAACCTGCTGCATTTGCATTTTCCCCAAAGTGCCTGGCACACAAACAACAACATGTTAGCTCCTCTCTGTAAAAAGGATAACAGATTACATCTTGCTAAACTATCGATATGTCCCTCAGGGCTGTTTCACTGTAAAAACAATAGAAATGAAGAGCAGACCTGTTGGAGGAGCATCCTGGACATGTGTGTTTTTTCATATCTGAAATGAATAATTGATAATGTTACGAGCCGGCCTCACAGATTGAACTCTTTCTAGCAATAATTATGTTTCAGGACTCCATAGTGATTTGGTTTCTACTCCTCAGTGGGTATTGGATTAGCTGTGTTTTCCCTATTGAGCTACTTACCACCTCAGGCTTTAATACTACACTCCCTCCCCTCTCTTCTCCTCATCCTCCTTTACAAGGTTTGCTGAGGAGGCCGTTCATGCCTCTGTGCTCTAGAAGGAAAAACACAAGCCTACTAATAACATCAGGCCTTTCTCTGTTTGCCTGCAGCTTTTTGTTTCTGTTGTCTAATCAAGAATGTTGTCTGACTGTGATGATTTTACTGAAAATCCTGCTGTGTGTGTGCAGATAAGCGGTTGCGTGACCGCTCGTCTATGTTCCCAACTGTGAGGTGGTCTTTGCCTTGTCACCTATAGAAGATGTCTCAATCCCCCGTGAGCTCATTATTTCCGAATCGGCTTGTCGGAAATAAGTGGGTAAGGAGTTAAGAGTCTTATTCTCACCATGACATGTCCCTCAGCATCAGACAGTGACAAGCAACACTCAAGATGCACACACGCACACACTGAACAGCACAAGTTGAGAAGAATGTTGGTGCCGCTGCTGAGAAGCTAACGGCTCAAGAAGGCGAGAAAATATCTGAGGAGCGATGCATGCATGCATAAAGAAACAAAAACAGGCTAATCTCATTTATTCATCAACTCCATTTCTGAGTCTTAATTGCAACCGTGTGCATCTTTATACATAAATATTAAACCCTACAACCAAAAGCCAAAGAGTTTTCTACGATCACAATCCATGATCCACTGATATAGTGTTTGTGTTGTTTGTGTTGTTTGTGTTTGTGCAGAGTTTGTGTTGCTTCCCCTTGGTTCACATTGGTTAAATGCAGGACAAACACATTTAAAAGCTCATTTGTCTCTGCTGTCATTGGCTTTTTAAATGAGCCTATACGTGATTTTTATATCGTATTTATTTACATTGTATTTATCGATTGTCGATTTTGTCATGCACTGTTTGCTGGCTGTGCAACAAACTGCCCATCTGGGATACTAAAAGATTTCTTGATGTGGCTACGGTTGCGATCCTGGACCTGCAATGATAAAGCATCTGGAAGAATTTGGAAAAGATGTGATTTGTTGTTTATTGTGTGTTTGTTTCCATGTTGTCTTGTTTACCCTGGTTTGTCTTGTTTACCCTGGTTTTGGTTTCACCTAATGCAATATCATTAGTGCCTCCTCCCACCAAATCAATCCTCCAATGGCTCCTTCCCTGTCCTTTACCCTGCATCCTCCAGCTTTTAAGTAAAACAGACAGATGAAGATGGAAAAAGATATGAAAGGACAGTGAGAGAGAAAGACAGAGATCTGCAGGAGGAGGAGGAGAGGCTGTGAGTGCAGGATGGAGGGAAGAGAATAAAGGGATGGAAAATAGAGTGATGGGGGAGGATGTGCTCAGACTATTGATTCCTGCATCATGATGGACTGAGAGGCCCCTTGTCACTCTGACAGCCAAAGACAAATGCAGCATGAGATGTGGTGCTGAACGTCTGGAAAGAATCAAACAACAACAAAAACAAAAAACAGCCCAGAGGTTAAATCACATATGGCGGTGTGGGGATTCTTACCAAGAGCAGTGCACCTCATTAAATACTCAGCGTAAGCCCTTTGGATTTCAATGATGACTGGTGTCCAGTAATGTCCGAGCTTTATCTCGCACTTTCTCCCCCTGACAGAGGCAAACTGAGCTCCAGCTCAAGGCGATGACAATTGTTTCTGCATCTTGAGTCATTCCTGACCGGAGTGAGATGCGTGGCCTGGGCAGGCAAAGTGGGTCAGAGGGTGAAGTGAGAACGAAAAAGCCCAACACAAAGTGAAGTCATCCTCGCCAGAGGGCATCTCCCTATCTCCACTCTGGAACAGCACATACAGAACACACACACACAAACACACAAACACACACACACACAACAGCACAACATTCCCCCTTCTTCCTACACCCGCTCAGCTTTTGTCTCCCAGCCGCCTGCCTCTCTGTTTTGATTGCCGCCTCTGTCCTTCCCCATGTTGGCAGCAGCATTGAGGAGATTTTCATCTCATTGTTGCACCTTCCAGCACTTTGTGGATATTGCATTTGCAGCTTGTCCAGAGCCCTAAGACCCCCCTGGCATCCTAATGACCACACACAGTTTAGATGTAAAGGCTAACCTTAAAAAAAAAACCCTCCCCAACATGCTCCTATCTTAACCTCAATTCTAATTCCAACCTAAAACCAAGCCCTGACCCTTCTAATCCTCTTAAAGAAGTAAGAAAAGGCGAAATGTCCTCACTTCTTGCTATCCTCATGAGGACCGCATTGATTGGAATAAAAAAAAAACCCACACACACCAACAGGCTTTAGGACCCAGTGTTTTTGCCGTAATGAGGTGGCACAGCTGAAGATAGGAGAGAGGGATAGAGACAGGAGAGGAGGAGAGGGAGGAGGTGCGGAGAGCTGTATTTCGGAAAGTAAGAGAAAAGCTGAGAGTGGCAGAAGAAAGTTGACACTGTGTGAGATGCTCTGCAGCCGAAACAAGGATTAATGAGAGAGCTGCTCCCTGTGTGAGGAGCAGAGATCCGGGGTGGGGGGGTGGGGGGGCAGGATGCGCGCGGAGCTGCGGTGCAGGTGGAATGGGAGCGTGCGCGTTGCTGCTGCCAGGCTGCACAGGTGAGGCTGGGGCATCTTCACGCATCCGCACAGCTCGAACCTAGGGGAAGCCCGCAAGTTGAGTTTCCTCACCTCTAACCAGGATACGTGCAATCCGCTCATCACACAATTACGCACTCACTGCACATGCCCGCGCCAGCAGTGCGTAAAAGCGTTCTGTCCTGTGGATGGTTAAAACTGGGATTGTGGATTTCCCCCGTCTCTCCTTGGAGGAGTCGTTCCGCGGAGAGGACAGGACAGGACGAAGAAGAAGAGAGGAGCAGAGTTTCCACATTTAAGGTGAGGAAATAGTGAAATATTTAAAGGAAAAATGGAGCAGTTTTACTGTTTTGCTTGCAATGATTACAGCTAATCTAATTTTACATTCAGCAAATCTTGATTTCATATTTATTGTTGGTAAATTGGAAATGTAGCATTTAATTGGAATTTACGCACATTAACGCTCCATTTTACGCACAATACGAATATTAGAGGAATCTATCTATCTATCTTTCTATTTATCTAACAATCTTTTTAATATATCTATCTACCCCCTCTTTGTGAAACAGCTTTATAAATCTTTATGAAGGTTAAATCACTGCTGTTATAAGAGCACTACGTGTCATAGTAGTGAGGTTACATTTATAAAAACATATTAATATTCAAGTTTGACTTTTATGTCAGCAGTAATTTCTCAGAGCAGGTCTCAGGTTGTAAGAGGATCTGTTTCTGTGTTGACAGAAACCTTTCAATGACGGATTCAGGGCTAATATTTGAGAGAGGTGATTTATTAATGATGATAACCAAAACCTTCATCTGCTTCTCAGCAAGTGAGATAATGCACACATACATTTCAGCAGTGAGAGCTTTCATCATGAATCTCCTCATTAGCTCTTTTTCCTGTGTATGTTTGTGCGTTTGTACAATAGTGGAACCCCAGCAGCAGCAGCAGCAGCAGCAGCAGCAGCAGCAGCAGAACAACCCCCATCACACACACACACACAGCTCTGCTCCAGTGTTTATGTTTGTACAGCTATTTGCTGCTGTTCCTTGAGCCTGGTGTGCAGAAATATAATACGCAGTACACTCTCGCAGTATTTCCTGAAACCTCAGACAACCTGACACTCTTGCACCAACATATCTTCATCATCAAGTCAGGAAGAAAATCTAGCAAGAAAGATCCCATTTGTATCATCTCTGTGTGTGTGTGTGTTGAGTCCATGAATACATCATCGCTCTTCATGTAAATATCAGAGAGGTCTAACTACCTCACTCTTTCCTTAGCTGCACACACACTTGATGTAGTGAACTGTGAGGACATTGCATTAATTCATATTTTTCCCCTAAAACCTCAACCTCAACCTCAAGTGCCCCATGTTTAGTTTTAGGTAAAATCATGTATCAGACGAAGACGATGTCTGTGTGGCTTTAATTAAAGCTTAACCAAACCCACGTAATCCTAAACATCGATGATTTGCCTCATGTGAACCAGCGTGTTTTGGCTCTAGATTTAAAGAGAATCTGCTCAATGTGTTTGAACAGATATGTGACACCACATTTAGATTAATAGTACTACACACACACATGCACACAGGAACTACAGGTCAGTGCATGACAAAACGTCTTATGTCAACACAGTGGAGATGACATCAGTGCAGCCTCTGTACATGTTTAGCTTCTCTAGATTTCACACACATGTTCACAGGCTTACCTGCAAGACACCAGAGTAAATTAACAGATGTAGTAAAACAATAAAATATTATATATACCCTCAGTGAACAGACAATAGCTTACACAATAACTTGTTTCTCCATATGATTACACCACATTTTCACTGATCCAGCATCATTTACCAGCGATTGAATGTGGAAAGAACAAATGATTCACTGATCATGTGTTTTTTTATTACAAAAACTAGGACACATTTTTTTTAGTTTAGTTACAGCAATTACTAGTTAAATTGATCATCGTGTTTGTTTTCCATTTCAATAATTAGTTCAGAATCTGTTTGAACATCTGTGTGCTGGTGGTGAATATATGAAAATAGTAACAAAATATTTGAATTTAGAAATTTTAACAATCTGCAAAATGCCTGTCTGTGTTGTTTACAGTGTGTTGCATGTTATTGGGAATGTACACATATATATGACAGGCATGTAAGTAATCTCACAGTGTTTTACACAGAAACGTGTACATATGTTCAATCACTGCACAACCATACATGTAAACCCGAGAGAATAAAAAAGCACATTGAGTTGCAGCAGCTGTAGAAGGCACTTTAAGCACAAGCCACACACAAACACACACACAAGCCACACACAAACAGAATATTGTGAGACATATCCTGTCCCTGTACAGTGTGTCCCATGATGCTCACAGATACACATAACGTCGCACTGAGTACAACATACAACACACGCTGCAGAGATGCTGGAACCATTTACAACATATTGCAGATGGGTAACTTCTCACTCTTCAGGCCTCATCGCACACAAGCACCAGCTGTGCAAGCGTTCTGTGTGTGTGTGTGTGTGTGTGTGTGTGTGTGTGTGTGTGTGTGTGTGTGTGTGTGTGTGTGTGACATGTGTANTGTGTGTGTGTGTGTGTGTGTGTGTGTGTGTGTGTGACATGTGTACATACAGTATGTATGTGAGCATGGAGACAGGAGGCAGGGCATGGACGCTTCAAAGGGTTTGTTTACTGTGTGTCTAAAAAGTGAATGGTGCAAGGCTGTAAAGGACTGTGTGTGTGCATGTGTAGTTATGTGAGGGAAATTAAATGAATGTGTGTGTGTGTGTGTGTGTGTGTGTGTGTGTGTGTGTGTGTGATGGGGGGGTCAAAGCAGGGCATACTATGGACTGATTAATGAGCTCATGCACACATTCTGCACAGTGGGGTTCGAGTAAACCCAGCGCCTGGCGTGGCTGCGCTCATTTGTTATTACAGAGCAATTCTGTCAAAAGGATCCATCCTTTGCAGTCTAATGTGACAGCAACACATCCTCACTGGAAGGCACGGCTACGCCGGAATTATCCCATCCAGTTATTATCAAGCCGAGCAGAGGAGCAGCACTGAAATGGCAAATTAGCCTCCGCTTCATTTATCCTGCAGTGCACACTGCGCTCCATGGTGAATGTGTTTCCATAGGAACATGATGTTACTTCGAGCTTCACGAACTGTGCAGCGCTCTCCACGTCGCCTCCTGTTTTTTTTTTTTCGCTTATCTTTTCTGTTCGGTTTCCTCTCTGCTCTCGTCGCTCACTCCACACAGATCAAGGAAGCGAGAGAGAGGGAGCGTGAGAAAAGGGTTTGGAAATGAAATCAATAGGGCTATTAAACTGCCACTCGGGCTTTTCACATTTTTTTGTTTGGCATATCTGGGAGCCTGCTCTGGTCTTATCAGCCTGACATCGCTGTTCTCCAAGATGTCCTTTTATTAGCGTCTGTAGGCGTTTACAGCGCCAATATTCTGCAGCCAGCGCGCCCTTTCTTCTCTACGAGTGTGTTCACAGAATCTGCATCTCCTCGATCTGTATCAGCTGAAATATTACAGCAATTACTCCGTGCATCCCCGTGTGCGTGCGTGCGTGCGTGTGTGTGTGTGTGTGCGTGCATCCTGTGAGATAGAGAATCAGACTGCCGAGTTGCTGAAAATCAGTTGCGAGTCAGCAGCAAAAGGGTTTCTAGCAGTATCTGCACAGCTCTATGTTTTAAGTACAAGCTGTTGAGTATGAGACAAGTTTTAAGATTTGTACAGGGGCATGGACAGTATTGGCTGGATTATGAAAAGAGAGATGGAGTCAGATCAAAAGCAAAGGAGACAGAGGGAAGCAATGGAGGGAACTGAGAGTAGATGTGTGGTTGTGTACGTGTGCCAGCGAGCACCAGACTGAAGAGGAGAGAGGGAGAGAGTGAGACAGAGAGAGAGAGAGAGAGAGAGAAGAGGAGCTCTTGTAAAAGTGTCAGTGGTGATTTGCTGTGGCGTCCTTGCAACATTCCCTCCACCTGACTGGATGTTTTATGAGCGTTGCAGAATCAGAAAAAGGAGGCGAGCTCATAATGCAGCTGACAGAAGTCTTTTCATGGTGGATGGGCAGGGGTGAAGGGGGCTGAGGGGTGAGGAGAGGAGGGTGAGGGGTGTAATAAAGCTGAGTGCATCTCTCCTGGAATGAAGCTGCAGTGATTAAGAGGAGAAAGAGAGAGAGAGAGAAGAGGGGGAGGCTGATGTGTGAGGGAGCATGTATGCACTGAATGTCCAGATGTGTGTGTGTTGAAGAGGAGGCGTTGTGACGTCAGTATGTTGAATGATCGCTCAGCTTGTTCACTGTGAGAGGTACTAGCCCTCCACAAAGGAGGTGGGTGAGGAGGTGGTGAGCAGAGATGGGAGGGGGGTTGCACAGCTCGCAGCAGAACACAGGCCTCATCAGCACTCCAGCCCAAAGATACCCATTTATTCCACTTTTTTAAATGTACCCCCTCCCCCGATGTGGAGCGGTGAAGCGTGCAACAACAAGCCACTGAGTTGATCTGGAGCCTGTGAAGCACTCCGCCATTCAGAATGAATACTTACTGATGAGATATTATGTGGTTTGTTGAAATGACACTTTCTTTTTCCAGCCCAGGAGTGAAAAGCCCTTGAACACACACACACACACACACAAGACTGAGACTTTTGTTATTTCATCCCTTCTCACTTGTCAGCTCACACAGGAGCGTTTCTCCACCTCTCAGTTGTGTCTTATTTTAGATGCTCTCACTTTGGAATTCATGAAGTCAGTTGTACTGTATGTGACATGAATCACTAACATGTTAGGGGCTGCATCAGGTGGGTTCAAGTGTGAACAATTCTGAAAGCGCCAGTTTGAAACCGCAATACAATCGTGCACCGTGTCAACGATGGAATCGTGATAAAACAATCCTCTGCCACCGACAAATCACAACATCTCAAGGCCTTAAAAAATGCTATATACTCTGTAGACTTGTGTACATAATGTTTCCATCAACGCTCAAACCCACAATGTTGATTTCATATGCTTTTTACCTGTGGCTTCGCTATAACAATGTATGATGAAGGAAAAACTCACTGCTAGCCAGTTAGCCAGCTGACTCTATTTGTCCTCCCACTGTTTGTATCGGTACTTTAAATGGCTCATGATTCATTGTCGTTTGCTGCGTAACGTAGATAAAACTTTACCAAATGACCTCATCCGTGAACATAATTCACGCCTGAGTGACAACAAGAATACAACTCCCATGATACCATACTGCTTCACGACATCAGGTCTTTTGTTATTGTTTTTATTCAGAGACCCCTAGTGGCCAAAGTTACATTCTGTCCATTCAAGGATCCAATATTAATATCTGACTTGTGTTGGTAATTATTTATTTAGGTAGTATTTCTTGGCATGTGATTTGCAGCTTTATTACTTAAGTTGTTAGGTTGTTGACAAAAATCCAAACTTAAGTCTTGGATTCACACAACCCTCAGAGACAAGATGCTGTGTGCACGAAGCTTGAGGCTAATATTTCCTGTGACCTTTTTTTGTCTTTGAACAGACTCCATGGTCCTCATCTGAGAAGTGGATCGCAAGCCACCCGACTGCTCCTGTGTCCTGAATGAAACCCTCTTAAGGTGGATGGGCGGCATTAAAATTACATGTCCCAGAGGACCCGCTGCTACCGCAGGCAGCGAACCCACAGCCATAAATCAAGACCAGGGCACTTTGATTTCTGCATTATCGCTTGCTGCTGCAACAACAGAGGAACAGGCATGTTTGCAGGCACGCTGACCTGCAGGCGTGCACCATAGGATTCTATTTCTGGAGCCTCATTGCTTTTACAGATTAACTGCCCTCAAATATGGCCCCAATCCCATCACTGCGCCACTAGTTCGACTGCTGCTGGAGGTTGTGCATATTCAAGCTTCAAAACACCCTACTGTGCATCAGTCCAGTCATCTGAAGTCCCTGATGCCTTTGGTCTGTTTTTGAAAGCAGTGGCAGTGCAGTTTTTTTCAGACTCACGAAAGGAAACAAACAAAAAGAAATTATATGTCATGACAGCTTGAAGTTTTTTCTCCTTGTAGTCATTTCTCAACTGACATGTCATTGCTCATTTCCATCTGGAACTGTTGAAGGGAAAGATTGACATCAGAAACTTTCACAATAATACTGTGACACTGTGGTAAGATGACATTTTTCATGAGTTCCTGAGGGCAGTCGCCCTGAAATCCCTGCGCCCAGTGTTTTCCTTAGCCTGTTGTGGGCTAATCAGGGTCCTCTATCATCAGAATTGACATTTCCATATTGTATGAGAGAGAAAGTAGCCTACATTAGCATATTTATGAACACTAACACTCTCAATCATGTGAAATAGAAGACATGTGGCAAACTCTGAGCCATCAAGCCATGAAACAAATGTCTTATGACATGTGAGGAGAAGAGATTCTTTAATCCAGCAGCACAACTTCAGACAGCACACAGGAGCAGGCAACCCTCACATTAAGGACATTTCGTCATAAACCTGCCGTGTGTTGTAGGCCTCTGGACTAAGGCCTACGATAAGACAAAAATTAAAGAATAGGATTAAAGATGGATTACCAGTGAAACACTAAAACCAGCAAAGCAGCTGCCTTTGCATAAGCCCATCGAACACTCTTTAGGGAGACACACTGCAGACCGATTTGCAGATTACATTTGGTTGTTGATGTGGTGGCCTCTTGTGTGATTGGTATTAAAAGAGAGGGATGGAAAATCTGGATGAGCTGGAGCACCCTCTTCTGGGAGAAAACACCAATAACAGTCGAGCATCAGGACCGGGGCTGGGGCCTGGCACTGGACAGGCCCCTGGTGCCATGTTCAAGGGCGTCTTGGTAAAGTGCGAGGAGGACAGGGCCTACCCGCCCTTAGCATGGAGGAGCTACTGCGGACATCCTCCTGAGCTTCAGCAACAGCAGCTACTGGATCCTTGCTCCTTACCTCGCACACTGGAGTCTTTTTACCCACCGGCCCCCATCTGGGGCCACACAGACTCCCTGCTCAGCAAAGAGTACCTGGAGACCACGTTCGTGGACATTCGACCCGGCTCCACACTGGAGAGGAAGCTGCTGGCTGAGGCGCAGGACTTCCACAGCGAGTCCTACAGCATGGATGACGAGGACGACCTGCTTCCTGACTCTGACGTAAGACATCCCACTGACATAATGACGAGAAAGTTGTTTTCTTTTGTACTGACCAACAGAGTTTGGGTGGTTGAATTCCAAGTTGTAAACTCAAGACCTGACAGTTAAAGGGAAGCAGCGCGAGTCATTTATATTACTGCAGACACTCGAAGAGAAAGACCTTCAACACATAATGTCTACAGGGTTAAAAGGATTATTATAATTTCAAAGAGTACAAGGGGTTATCTTCATTTGGCCTGTTGTTCATTTATCAGCAGCATAAATCTGAGAAAGGTTGGCATTGATACAAGACAGGATAAAGTGAAATGCGGAAATACATAATAAATTCTTTGACGAATCATCTCATCAAATAATTAATATTTGACCAACTAATCTCAACCACATATTATTTGTTGCTCGCAGGAGTTTCACATTCAAATCCAAATCATATTCTCAGAATAGATTCAGGGAACAAACAACAAACTTAAAATAGACATATGAGCAGTGTATTTCAGGGTAGGCAGCAATAGAATGCTTGCTGTCAAAAAGCCAGATTACATAAAGCTCCTCTCCTGCTGTGGCTCAGGTAATAACACTACAGTCGTGGTGGAGGATGCCAGTTCTATTTCATAGATCACTGAGCAAAGCTCACCCTGGAGTGAAATGTAAATTAGCGTCAAAACCTTTACCCTGGTCATGTGATGTTTTGGCGACTCAACTTGAAAACATACAGGCTATAAATGTCACAAATAAGCAGCTGCTGGTTTGTTTGAATCCTCACGTCTCCCACCAAGGATAAATTAAAGTTTCAATTACAACCCACTGTGGACTGAAAGGCTGAAGGCAGTTTGATGAATATTACTTTGATTGAAAACCTGATCGAGTGGACAAACAGTGGAATTACACACAGGATGAGAGTTTGCTCCACAAGGACAAAAGAACAGCAAAAGAAATTGAATTCTTAATGCTTGTTGTAGTGCAGTGATGCAAAGACGCAGGCCCGTGGGATTAAAACCTTGCAATGACCTCAAAGAGGAACAACCTCTCCTACTCTGACTTTTTTTCACTTCAAATGCTCAGTTAAATGGGAATTCTGGTATTTTTTCAACATGGGCCCTATGTTATAAATGTTTTTACTTAAAACCTGTGGTCCAGTAGATCAACCCCACCAGCAGCCGTAACGTGGCAGCTTTGGCTACAATGTAATCTTATGGGGCAACTGCCACAGTCCACTGAAAGATTGCTATTCTGGTTCTTTCTCTCTCTCCTTATTCATTCTCTCAATTTGAGGAACCTTCTCGTCCATATGCTCCAGCTCAAACAAGCAGGGATAAAAGTAATATCCTTCATCACTATTGTCCAAACCCAAAAAAGATTCAGCCATAAAAGTAAAATCCAATCTCTCCAACTCTCTCTCACATTTCTATCTCCATCTTCCTGCAACAACCAGAGAGTGATGTTGCCAGACCCTTAGCAAAAACCCTGAATAACATATTGAGCCTTTAATTAGTGGAAAAAAGCCATTTTGGTGAACATTTTTTAAACTGTCACAGTTGCCCCAAAAGATTACATTGCAGCCACTGCCGCTGTGTTGCAACTGCCAGTGGAGGCTCCATTAGTTTTTGTGAGTAGCATTCATTTACAAACATTGGGTCCAGGTTGAAAAAAAAACATTTCTTCCTGATGAATTCTGACCACTGCACATGCACGAGCTCAGTGTCTTTCGGCTCAACATGAGATTTCTCTGCCTCCTGTCGCCATGGGAACAGTTATATGCTCCAGGCAAATCAGTCCTGATACATGAGGTAATTCTCAACAAAGCGGATCAATCTCTAGTTCATAGAAGAGTCATTATAATAATAAATAATAATACATTTTATTTATGCGTGCCTTTCATGACACTCAAGGACGGGCATGTTGCAGTGAGCGTCGGCAGTGACGCAAATATAGCACTGACTTATTGTTAATCACATATCGGCACTGAAGCGTTTGCTCAAATGTTACAGGAGCATCTTTGGAAGATGCACAATTATTTCACACGTCAGAATAAAACAAGTGGAGGAACACGACAGGGTCAGAGAGCGATGCAGAGTCAGACTGAATTTGCAGCTGTTTCTAAACCATGAGTCATGAATTACCTGCGGTCAACTAAGCTGGTGCACATGCAGACTAACCCCATTCAGTCACATTATCTCACAGGCGTGAGCAAAGCCGTCTTGTTGCTGTAGAGGACATGAACATAACATATATACATGTTTTTAGTGAGTGTGTTTGGTATGTTTAAATTGAATAATGTGCAATTCCTGAATGAATAAGCTGTGTGTCTAAAGGGACATTTAATTCAAAAAGATAGAATTGGTGTCTGACCATTCGGTTTATGTGCCTTGGTTTTATGATATCTGCCACTACATTGATGAAGATAACACAAAGATGAAGGGAATTTCTTTTGTGGTGCTCATAGCATTAGAGATTTTGGTGGGACTATTGGACCAAATTCAGACATAAGAAATATTCCATATGAAAACTGTGGACGTTTTATTAAGAGAGTCGTTGCAGCTGACTAATGTTATTTTTATTTATTGTGAAATTATAATATCCACTGCATCAGATTGGAAGCTGGAATCTGAAAGACAAGTAGAATTGCACTCAATAGACCATGTAGCTTTGACAGGGCCCAATAGTCCCTTTAAATTCAATCAAGCGGCGCCAAATTTCACACACACAAATATCAGTCTCCTAATTTTGTTTTTTTCATCAAAATCCTTGAATTATTTTCTTGGAAATAAACAAAAATATATCAAATAAAAAAGAAACACCCTATCTCACAATTTTAAACTATGTGAAAATAAATTCTAGGTTTCCCCCCCCGATCCGCACAACAATTTTCACTGTAATTTGTTCAGTAGTTTTTGCGTACTCAACTGCTAACTAACAAACACAGACAAAAATATTATCTTTGGTGGAGTTTAATATCTTAAAACCAGGGAAACACAACCAAACAGAATGTGCATGAACACATTCCATCAGAGGTGTTTATTGTGTAGTTTTTTAGACCCTCTAACAGAACACAACCTAAGTTCACTCTGTTTGAATCCCAGGACTCATCCATTGACGACTTCAGTGATACGGAAAGCGAGAGCAACTTCCCTCTGATGATCCCTCAGGACTACCTGGGTCTGGCCTTTTTCTCCATGCTATGCTGCTTCTGGCCCCTGGGCATCGCTGCCTTCTACCTTTCACAGAAGGTACACACACACACACACACACACACACACACACACACTCTCAGTCCTGAGCTGACGAGATATAACCTGGCAGTGTGTTTCACAGTGCACGGTGATGTTTTACCCTCTGCAGTGTGTGTAGACTAACAACAGGTCCGGTGTTATATGTGCTGTGGATATTATGGAAGTGCTTTGGGGTTTATACACAGGGAGGTATTAAACTTAGATTTGTTCAAGAGCAATAAAATAGCACACATCTGAGCTATCTGAACGAGGGATGCACCAAGATGATCATTTAATTCTCTAAAACAGCCTCTTGTGCCATATTTCGAAATGATTGTTTATGCAGAGGCTGAATTAAGATGTTTTTAAACTTCACTCTATATTTTATTGATTAAATGGTGTCATGGCCCCAAAAAACAACATTCATAACCTTCCCATCGCAGGAATCCTGTATCTGGAGTCAGGGACATAACATTTTCCAATATTTGACAAACACAATACAACACAAGGCGACGTATGATCGTAAGTCAAAGTAGAACAGGTAATAAAGAAATCTGGACAGACTAGGTCACTTTCCCAAAAAGAAAATAACTTTGACTTAACAGAGTCTTCAAAATAATCAATAACAATCAAAATCCATCCTATTGTTATAAACCATATAGTTTGAGGGTCTAACTGCCAATCATCAATCAAAATATATCAAATCAATAATCAGTAAATCATTGATTTAGTGCCACACCTCAGTAATAGCTCAAGCATGCTGATCTATGAATGAACTATATATACTGTTAAAAAAGAAGACAATAAAGTCAATAAAATCTATTTCTGAATATTCTGATTAGTTTTACAGGTTTAGGAAGTTTAAACTACTTTACATGATTTATAGATCCACTTCAAATAGTATCCGAGGTCGTTATCACTTCCTCTCAGAGTATAATTAAGCACTATGAATTGCTAGAGGCTATTGAGAACCAGTAATAATACTCAAAAAATACTTTTTAAAATAAGAAACATAAATTGTGTTAATACAGCTTAATACAGCTTGTTAACAATTAAACAATTAAAACAATTAATTATTTCAGGCTTGAGATTATTTAAAACACAACTGATTCACAAAATAACACTGAAGTAAGATACTGCAGCTTGTGTTTACCTACAATAATCTGTTGAAATCATCTCTTTACTTCAATTTTATCTGTATAGATAAATCACAACATGCACTATCTCAAGGCACTGTAGATAGCGAGGTCGAGACCCATCACTATTACAGAGAAAACCAACAGTTCCCACAATGAGCCAGCACTCAGTGGCTGTGGAAAGAAAAAACTCCCTCCCTGAGGCCAAGTAGGTGGAAATATGAAGCAGGTCAAAGGGAAAGAGGAACAACATCAGTGCAAAAACCATCTCATCAGTCACTATTACCACTGACAGCATGAAAAAGCTCCCAACACCTCTATCTCCATTCACCAGAGGCCCATAGTCTACATAGGCATCATTCCAGCAGTGCAGGAAAAAAATCCAAATACTGCAAAGCTACAAAGCTAACTGGCAGCAAGCTGCAAAGGCCTTTTGGTCAGATCAATAACCTTCGTTAAGGTTTAATTAGAGTCATAACAAGAAGCCCCAAGGTGATAGATTTCCAATATTGTTGAGTGCTACCTATAACAGGGGTCAGAGTCAAAGACAAGGACTAGTGGGGGGGGGATCGAAGAAGCAGAAAGTGATGAATGACGCACAAACGTCAGGGGTGATTCAGAGATGGGACATAATATGGGTTGAGCGTGTGATTGGAATGAGTGGAAGAGAAAATTGTAGGCCACGGGCGACACTGACAAATGATGACAAATGCCGCTCTCTCCTCTCTGTCCCTCTCCCACTCTAATCCCCATCTCACCCTCCTCTCTCCTCCGTTTCTCAGACCAACAAGGCATCAGCTCAGGGGGATTTTCAGGGGGCCAACGCAGCGTCACGCCAGGCACTGTGGCTCTCGGTGCTCTCCATCGTGTTCGGCATCATAACGTACATCTGTGCCATCGCTGCGCTGATTTCCTACCTGTCCGGAAAGCCGCCATAAAAGCAGCTTCATGAACATCACCTGTAAAATAATCAGTCTGTGTCTGTCAACATCGTCTGCAGTCATGTTTTATCCACAGCAAGCTGGAGTGTAGATCATCATCACATCTAATTAGATTAGGACATAACTCAGCTCAGAGGACGTTCCTTGCATGCAAAGAAAAATCACTGAACTTTACTCAGCATCACTCCATGTAGAAAATTCAGTCTGTGTTATTTATTTTGTCACCCAAGGTCTTAAGTTACCATACCTTTAAATCTGTGCTATAGTCGTTGTCATATGTTGAGCAGATGTAAACACACACTACTTGATATCACAAAACAATGGATGCATAATGAGGGGCAAAGGCAGAAACCAGGGGGGCAAACAGCCCGGGAAGAGCTAAGCGGAGGACAGTGTACAGCGATGGAGTCTGCAGATTTATGATAGATTTATGAAAGGTGCAGCAAGGACGAGGAAGCTGCTAAATCCTGATGGACCTTGCAGTTGGAGGGCCTGAGCCAGCACTGTCGCTCGCAGGGTAAAAGCTGGCGCCATTTTTTTTTTTGGTGCCCCATAGCTTTATTTTTAAAACATACGACAGGTCGGAAGCAATATTCTTCGAAAGAACCTTGAATTTTTTTCTACGCCTCTGGCCGGAGAGTAAGGGACCCACAGGACAACACTGCACACTGCACATCAAGTTCACATGCAGCATCGCTCACTGTGTTCCTGCAGAACGGACTGATTCTGCTTTGTTTATGCCAAGTTGAACAAGTATCTTTATGTGGAAATACACAAAGCTCTAAATGAAAAACACATAGTGCCGTTATATAGGAAGATAAATATAAATGAGGAGTTCAACGGTGTTAAAATGAAGGCTGTGGTGTGAACACTAGTGTTTAAGATAAAGAAATAAAGGAAGTGTATCACACATTGCACTGCAGAAAGACTGCATTGAGACAGAGATGCAGATCTGTAAGGAAAAGTGCCAAAAATATGGAAGAAACTCTAAGGATGATTCTTTTGTGAACAATTCCATTAATAGAAACAACCGGGCTGCTGCTCCCTAAATATAGATTCTGCTATTTTCTCCCCCCAAAAAGAGGACAGGTCCTCCCATTCCTGAAATCCATCTGGAACTTGCTTCTCGCAGTGTGACAAACTTAAAAATGAAATCCTCTACTTAAACATGTGTAAACAAACACAGTTATGCTTTGTTCAGATGAGCAAGTAAAATGTTGCTAAAAAAGCACTGTGGTAGTGCTCAGCCACGTGATGCATGAGACAGCTAAAGCTCGGTTTCCATCACAACGGATATCTGCATGGCTGTTTGTCAGTTTGCCATGTGCACACCTGCCCGGAGCTTCAACCACTTCCTCTAGTATTTGGTCCTGAATCACTGCAAAAGCAGCTTTGTTAAAAGAGAATTAAAAAAAAAAAAAACTCTAGCCATATTGGTTTGAGCTTAAATGTGCCATTTACAAAAAAAGTGAACGAGGGAACTTCGAATTAATATTTTAAAAAAGTGGCTGTAATTTAAAAGTTGACATTTTCTATGTAGATGTTTAGTTTTTATAGACTCCACAGCCGAACTAGAAAACTCAAATCACTACATTACTATGTTTCCTGCAAACCCAGCATTGTGTCATGACAGAGTTACATGTGGACACATGTATATCTGTCTAACCAGTGTTCAGAGTCCACACACAGTGTTGTCATACAGTTCTGACAATTCCCAACCATCCTTCCTCTCCACTGCACATTTACATCTCTGAAAAAAAACACATTGAGTGATTTATATGGGAACATTTAAGATGGTCTTGACTGATCACACTGGCCAGATTTGTCTCACTTGTAAAAAAAAACAACTGGACGCAGCTAAGTGGACAAGTCATGTAACTTGATTGAAGTCAAAGGTTGTGGTGAATTGAGATTTATTTGTACAGGAGATGTTCAATTCTTTCCCAGTTCACCTTCTTGTATGACATGTAAATATTAAACTGAAAAAACAATGAATCCCAATAAATGCACTTGTTCGAGATTTATCTTTCCTCCGTGAGAACAATCATATTCATTTTATCCACAGCTCAGCCGAAGAAAGGTAAAAGGAGCCCAAAGTATTCGCTAAATATTTTATTAAAAAATCAGTATTTCTATGCATTTGTTTCAGAACAGAACAGAAAAAGTACACTGCTTCACCATCAGAGGGTTTTGGAGTATCGCCGCCTCACAGAGTCCCTGTAGAACTGGAACAGCTTCTCTGATGCTTTCTGACTGACTGCTATACACTGCTGCAGCTGCATGAGGGAAAAAAAGCAAAATAAGCTTTAGAGAAAAATCTAGAATGTCTATGTTATTAATACAGAAAGACACGGAAAAAATATCTCATCATGATCAGACATGAAGGAAATCAATGACGGAGCTCACATAGTAAAGACAGATATGACATAGATCATAAATAAAATAGAGATTTCAAAATCTGGAAGTAGTCAGGATTATTAACTAATTAAAATTTGTCAATGCTGCAGTGATTCTGATTTTTAAAACTAACTTATTTACAGACCTCATTAACTGAAAACGATCCTTTGGTTGATGACATCAATACATTGCGTTGTTTGCCGTCAATAGCAAATGTCATCAGAGCTCGACTTTCCTGGTGGAAAAAGAAATCAATGGATTCAGTGAGGTGACTGTACTGACAGTACTGAAAGGACTTGCAAACATTCTGGGGTGTACAGCGCCCCTAAGGGAATATTGTGTTCCCTCGCAACATTTTTACTACTTTTACATTACAGTACATTTCGTCTTCTTTTCATTCTGAGCCACATGCAGCCCATTTACTCTCATCTTCTCCCAATGCAACCCCACAGTATGGATCAAGCTGTTCTTGTCAACATCAAGGTGCGTGCTAGTGTTTTCTGAGTAACAGATTTACCTTTTGCTGAGCTGCAGTGGGATCTGTGATGATCTGACCATCTGCGTCAATGGCACAGGTCACTCCACAGAACAGGCAACTCATAGGCAGGCCTGCGTCCATAAGAGCCATACAGGCTGCATTCAATAAGCAGGACAGGAGCTGGAGGAACCAGTCAGGAAGAACACTCACGAGGCGACATTTCAGTGGCTCACATGCACACTGGATATTTGCTTTGCAGCACAAATCACCCAAAAGCTTCACTGAAGGATACTGAACCATCGTCGTGCAGCACCTGAAGAATGAGTGTGAGGGAGGAGCGAGGATGAAGTGACAAAAGCAGAGACGCCTCACAGGTTTCACGCACACACTGCTCCTGTGATCGCTCCCTTACACCTAAGACATAAATAAATGTGGGGATATATACAGTACATGAGCCAGAAACAGAAACACTACTGTATGACTTATTCCATCTTGTGTTGTGGTATAGCAGCATGATAGGATAAGCACAGAAGGCTGTAAATCGAACTAAAGTAGCCTCCTAATACCTTACTGCACCCATACAAGAAGATTTAGATTGCTCACACTGCCTGACAGCAACATTCAACAGCCGTATTAGACTCACAACAAGTGAATACGTAAGAAGATATTTCTCCCCTTTAGAAAACAACTCACTTGGAAGTCCCACTTTGGGCTGTATCAACACCTCCAGTGTCGCCCGGTCATAGATCTCCTTGCTGACTTTGACCTCAGCCGGTCCATAGACTCCAGCATACACACTTGTGTCTCCTTCAAATAGGAACAACAAACGACATTATTCACCAGAAAATACCTTAAAGGGCAGTATGATTAGCCCTGTGCACAGCTGACGCACATCAGAACAGGAGGATGTCAGTCTACTGGGGGAAAAGAAATATCCACTGCAAATGTATAGAAGTAGAAAGTTCCCTTCATGTTATTAAATTATTTAAAGTTTTCATTCCTGTTTGCTTTTTTTTAAATATATATATAATATCTATAATCCTCCTCTGTGGAGAAAATGATGCATGTGAGAACAGGTGTGTTTTCCCTCATATTGTGAATGTAGTATTGATAATTGTATAGCAAAGCCATAATATATACCCATTCCTAAAAGATATTAATTACAGCCTAGTTTTCAAATATTAATGAGTATATTTGACATAAGCTGCCATACACACCTATGTTATGCTAAAATGTGATCGTCCACTACAGACTGCTCTTCAATGGGCTTCTATGAGTTTTATTAGTGCCTTAAAAATATTCAAACTGGTTTAAATGGCTGGATTGGTGACAATGAACGGGCATTAGGCGAAATAATGCAAAGTTGGAAGCATAGAATTGTCCAAAATGAATTTCCTTCACTGGAACTCCAATTCCTGAATTCAATGATTTAGAGGTGTGTGTGTGTGTGTGTGTGTGTGTGTGTGTGTGTGTGTGTGTGTGTGTCTGATTGTCCATATTGTGTATCTCATGGCCGTTTCCGATTCCGCTCTAAACTACCAACTAGTAGTTGGCCACGAATGTGATTATTCAGCTAAAGCGAACACTTACATTTGACATACACATAACTGAACTATTACCAGTGACACGATGTGAAGGGTGTGACCGAGGTGTAGAAAGAACAGAGCTGTAGGAGGACGGTCGCTCGCGTGGTTTCCCCGCTGAAATGAACTTGTGTATTTACCATGGACGAAGGATGCGGAGCCGTCAGGTTGAGACAGAAAGTTCTGTTCACAGCCAAACTCCCGCAGGATCACGGTAGAAGAACCACGCGCCTCCATCACTCCGCCGCCGTCGTTATTCAGTTCCACGAGTGTGTCGAGGATAGATGACGTCATATGTTTACTGATGACGGAGTCTTCTACTTCTTCTTCTTCTCTGAGGGTTTTACAGCAGCTCCGCTTCTTCCGCCTCCCTCAGGTTTTATTCTTCCACGTTGTCTCGTCAACATCATTTTAAAAACATGACGCACTGACTTTCTCTGTGGTGTAAAATCATGTTCCTGTGATACCGGAGTAGATCACAGCGCCATCTAACGAACTTGATGACCGGAAAATGCAGTGTTTCTATCACACTACATATAGTTCGAAATGTTTATTCCACCTGAAGAAACATTCTTTGGGTACTACATATATTTTTAAATCTTTTTCTTTTAAACTAGTTAATGTGTTTTGATGTTAATTCCACCTATATACTATTTTATATTAAACTACTTGTTGTTTAAAATCTTTATTTCACCTAAATACTATTTTCTTTGAAACTAGTTATAGTTTTAAATGTTTTAACACCTAAATACTTGTTTCTTTGAAATTAGATAAAGTGTTTCGATGTTGATTCCACCTGAATACTATTTTATACTAAGCTACTTGTAGTTTGAAATCTTTATTTCACCTAAATACTATTTTCTTTTAAACTCATTAAAGTTCTAGATGCTTATTCCACCTAAATACTTATTTCTTTTGAACAAGTAATAACTTTAAATGTTTATTCCATCCAAATACTTCTTTCTTTTAAACTAGTTATAGTTTTTACGGTTTATTTGACTCAGGTCATGTCTAAAGAAATCTGTGAAATCAGATTTACATTTGTTGAATCTGGTTCACGAAACCTTCAAATTTTTACTTAAGTTTAACTAATATTGCTCGAGTGACTTGAGAAAAGGAGCTCTAAAAGGGTAACTGTAAAAAGGAACAGAGAACTGGGTGGTGCAGATGAGGCTAAACATAATCTAAAAATTATAACAACAACGATAATCTACTTATTATGGGTCATGACAACAATGTTAATGTTTATGAACACTATAACAAAAACAGGCTAATTGTAGTATTTTTACCTTTTTGTTACTTTTTCAGGTGACGTTTCAACGAGGCAATGCATTTCTCAACTTCTGAGTTCTCTGCTTCCATGGCAGCCAGCACTCCTGCCTGTGTCACTCTGTTGATGTGTTCATCAGCATGGTTTTGTACCCACCAGTTCATAATTGTCGGGAAATGAATCACTCGGTCCCATATGTCTGTAAGCATGGGATCCTCTGACTTGGGAACAGGTGTGCTATAAATTGAAGGTGTTGGGACCTGGTATCTGTGAACCATAGTTGGGCCTACATGTGTAGCCAAAAGCCTGACCGCATGTCTCCTTTGCTCTGAAGACAAAGGAGAGCTTCCAGAACTCAGTCTCCCAGGGTGCTTCATCTTCACACATAGGTGGTAAAACTGCTCCTGGAGACAACTTTCAACCACTATTGCTCACTGTGTGCCCCATGACCCATGAGGTCACCAGGCCAATAAAAGCCAAGTTTCCCCTCTCCTCAATTTTTTCCCCTACTGACCGCTCCCGGAGGAGTAGGTCCTGCTCCTGCTCTCCCAGCCAGGGAGACTTCCTCCCTACACAAGCTCCTCAACTTCSAGCAGGCCTGCCTGGAGCAGACTGCTAAAACCTTCCAAAGGCAGTGACGCGAGAGCCTGCCTAAGAACTTCAGCACAGCTAGCCACAACACAAGGTCTGACCAGCAGATGCACAACAGGAGCCACAAACCAACAAGACCACCTCACTGGACTTCGAACAGCACATCCAAAAAGGACCTTTTTCATGGACTACCTGTCCATGGACAGGTAACACAACTGGGCTTTATTATTACGCTAGGCTAAGCAAAGGACTGGTTAATTCTATTTCTATTTCATGTGATGTTTATAAGTTTGACTTGTGTTGTTGTGATATTTGGTAATATGTTATTTGAAAGCTAATGTTGTTATGATGTTCACTTTCTCTGCATGCATCTAATGACTTTCTTTAACCTGGCACCAACACCTCACACACTCATCTCCACAAACCTAACACATACATGTGATCTCAGCCACATGGTCCCACTACTCCCGGGGGCCTTTTGTCTTCATAGTGGCCAGCCAACATTTTGAATCTCAGTCACTCACTCACGCACACACACACACACAAACACACACATGCATACTTGCATACACATCTGCACATAGTAAGTACACCTTTTGTTAGAACTTTTATTATTTTCATAATTAATGTTTTTCTTTAAAGGTGTCAATTTGCCAACCTCTACACTGTCATGAACTCCATATCCTTAAACATTTCTAGCTACTGATGTGATAATTTTGGTTATAGTAATTTATTTAATTATTAATCATAGTTCTAAATTTGTAGTCAGTAATTTCATGAGACTTTAATGTAGTATTATCACAACTGAGGTATGATGTAAGTGTAGAGGAGATCACTCAAATGTTGTCTGAGTGTTGGGTGGGGATACCTGGAGCACCCAGAGAAAACCCCAAAATTTTAAGAAAAAATGTAAAAATAAATTAGAGCTGGAATAACATTATCAGGTGACCTTTCAACAAGGCTTCCATGGCAGCCAGCACTCCTGTTGCAGAGCTGAACTTGTTGCTTAGATCCTTGAAAAATGGGTATGTGGAGGTGTGGTGGCGGAGTATGGTTAGGTCGCCAACTGCCGGACAACAGAGAGGAGTGGCTCAGCCGGTGATCGGACAGCTGTGCAGAATCAGGTGATCAGGCAATCAATAAAGGCATGCTGGTAACCTGGTTCTGCTCTCTCTTGCAGTAGGCTGGCGTCCTGAGAACGGAGCAGCGGGCGGACGTGTGTGGATGTATGTGTGTGGGTTGAGAGACCCGTGTATATATATGTGTGTGGTTGCCAGGAGAGGCAACCAGAATAAAGAAAGTGAAAACGCCATTCTCTCCTCCCGTACTTTCCCGGAGTGGGCCGAGTAATCCCACAGGAGGTTTGCAACTTTTTCTGTCAACACTTTTTCAAATTAAGTGAAGAATCTGGCGATGATACTGCGCTGCTTTGTCAGGTGACCTTTCAACAAGGAGGCAATGCATTTCTCAACTTCTGGGTCGCCTGCTTCCATGGCAGCCAGCACTCCTGCTGCAGAGCCAAATTTCTTGCACAGGTCCTTGAAAATGGGTATGTGGAGGTTTGCAACTTTATCAGTGATGCTGATATTGGTGTCCTCAAAGTGATCCAATATCTTTTCTGTGAGCAATTTGATGGTTGACTGCGGGTCTTGAAAGTAGATCCAGATCAGCTTTGCCTGATTCAGTGTTCTCATTATGAGCTTTATCACAAGAATCCTGATGAAATCATTTTTGTTTTGTGTCAGTGCTGCTGAATGCTGTTTAGGATCAGCTGGACACTGTTCGGGATCAGTTGGACTCTGCTCGGGATCAGCTGGACTCTGGTAGGGATCAGCTGGACACTGGATGGGATCAACTGGACTCTGTTCAGGATCAGCTGGACTCTGGTCTGCATCAGCTGGACTCTGCTCAGGATCAGCTGGATTCTGGTCCGCATCAGCTGGACTTTGCTCAGGAGCAGCTGGACTCAGCTCGGAATCAGCTGGATCAGTGCAAAATGACCCGGAGCCCATTAAAGCCTGTGTCACTCTGTTGATGTGTTCATCAGCATGGTTTTGTACCCACCAGTCCATAATTGACTGGAAATTAATCAGTTTGTCCCATATGTCTATAAGCATGGGATCCTCTGACTTGGGAAGAGGCGTGCTGTAAGTCGGAGGTATGATGTACGTGTACAGGAGATTACTCAACTCTTGTCTGAGTGTTAAATTATAAGCAGGTGAAAGGTCATCACCAGTGAACAGAATTTCAATAGAAGCATTGAGTAACTGCAGATCCTCTTTGGTTTTGGCTGTGCTTGTCAGATTAAACTTTGCATTGGTTTGTGCAATAATCCTATGGATATATGCTTTGGCAAAAGTCTCCACAATAAAGGTCTTTAGCCTCCTCTTCACTCTGTTGACTGAGATGAGCCTTTTGGGTCTTGCACCTTCAGACTCAGTCTTTACCATTTCCACTGTAGACAGAACAATGGCCTCTGCAGCAYTTTGAATCTCCAGACTGGACAGAGACTGTAGCAGGCTATACTCTGCGTCTGGCAGAACATTCAAGATCACTCCTGTGATCTGAATCATCTCCTTTCTGAGTATTTCCTTGACAGATTTGATGTTGTCACTCTCAACACTTTCATTTAAGGAGGTGCTCTGTAATGTAGTCTCAACCTCCAGGTCGCTAGTTCGGCATGGTACTTTTCGTTTGAAGCATAGTGTTTTCATTTTGCCCGCAAATTTCTTCAATACCTTGCAGGCGTAAGAAACCATTTTGTTCAGTCTGCTTGTGTGAGTGCCTCGTTTTAACTGAGGCTTTGATGAGGAGGACAGAAGGTGAGAAGTGTTGACACTCAATGAAACCTCTTCCACCAATGCAGATGTCAGTTTCTCCATGCTGGAAGAACGGAAAGACGAGCATGGCGAAGTCAGCAGAACTTCAGCAAAACCTTCGGATACTACGTCACCAATACTCTCCTTCACAAGATCCTCCGACATGCGGACTCTGCTTTTTAACTGGTTGACCAAAAACCCAGAAAAGGTTGACACCAAATTTAAAAGCAGCTCTGCCAGGGCAAAACTTGTGGCTTCATCAGGTTTCCCAGATTCCATCAGTTCCCACTGGATTGCTGATAACCCCTCTAAGAAGGTTTGAATGAATGGCCGAACCATGTCGATTGTGATCTGTGGTTTATCTTCCATATTTTGTGGTGACAAGTTGATATCCATGGTTATCTTCAGTCAGTGCTGTGCTCTCTCGTATCTGAATGTACTCCTTGGTATTGTCGAATGCCTCAAGCACTGACAATGCGGGGACTGTTATAAATTAGCATTGCGATGCTACATCAAAGACAAACAGAAATTTAATAGACATATAGAGAGCAATCCTGTTTAATGAAGAAGCACATCAAAGCACAAAGCAAGCATCTCTCTTTATTCAAAAGGAATGGTTCAAAGGCATTTGCTGTTTTGAGCCCTGCCCCCAGTCACTGTAACTAGGCAACAGTTGCTAAGCACTAAATCAAGTGGGGAAAAAAAGAACATAAAGGAAATTGTAAGTATTTGTCGTATTGGTTT